AGCTAAAAATGTTCGTTGTACTTATCAACCACAACGAGCGGCGTTATTTAAGGAAGAATAACCTTGTGCTTATAGCTATACCTATGGATATGGTAAAACTGTATGGATGCCACATTGAAGAAAATTGAATAGATATCATCCCGTTTTAATAAATAATTAATAAAAATCATCTGAAATTTGAGAAAATACAAATACAAATAAGTGCGGATTATCATTTTGATGTGATGAAATTGGTTTACATCTGAAGGCGCAGGCGCAGTTCATGGCCCAAAGGTAAAATAGACATAACGGAAATATGTGAACGTTTGGCGATGCAAAATCTCTGATTTTGAAGGTCGTGGTAATCGTTATCGCCGATAAAGTTAAACATACTTGATCCAAAAACTGCTGTTATTTTAAGGGGTGCAAGTGGAAAATACGGTCTAATACGAAAACGTGGGAAACCATGGCTAGCTGCGGTTATAGGAAGAATTCTTGTACTGAATGATCTACTAGATGCAGAAGAGCAAGAAGAAAGGCCTTTAGGAGATTTCACAGAAGAGAAAATGCCTTTGATTTAACGGATAATAAATTTATAAAACTATTTAGATTAAGCAAAGATCTTGCTCGAAATTTAATTGATTTATTGACACCTTTTATACGGACTCCAACTAAAACTTCATCATTAAAAACTGTGGTAAAATCGGAGGTAAATTTTCCACTTTGAAGTTTCTCATTTTACCTTAAAAATTCAATGAGCATTTCTTTTTGAGTATGATTTATAGGTGAACATCTTGATTTTTCCAAATTCATTTTCCACAAAACAGCACGAAAATAAAAATTGTAAAATAAAATGATTAATGATTTGATTTTCAGTAAATAAATAAGCAAAGAATGAGATTACGTCCCAAAACACAAATAAAACAAACCCCTCGTTTGTATTCTAATCGGACTCTACCGATGAGTTAGCTATCTTTGTTTAGTGAATGGAAAATGATAATGACCGACATAGAATGGTGGAAAATTTGATGAGAATAAAAACGCAGGGATACCGGTTTTCTTCTTTCTCATGACATTCGTCCTTTTAACGCACCAAAATTGTGGCTAATTCTACATATTACTGTTGGCAACAACGCATTATTATTTGACAAGTTTTCTCTCATTCTATCATAATCCTATACGTTCGAGAATACCAACTTTGGCATCAAGAGAACGAGCGTGCGATGTGATCTCTCACTTCTCCTAGGGGAACGTTCACTTCTACCAAATTCGAGAATCGACTACCAGGGATATTTCCACTTGTCAATTTTTGAAAATTACGAGGTAAATTTCCAGTTAAATATGCACAAGGGAAATTTCCTTGAGAATTTCATATATCTGTCAAAACTGGTATTCCAACAATGAATTGACATGTTTTGATTGTTGATTTGAACCAATCAGATTGTATTTACGCGATAATTTGCACTAGTGCAAATTATCAGATAATTGCATACTAACTGGTGCGAAAACTGGTGTTTTGACATTTTTTGACAAAAAATTTAAATTTTTGATTTATGAAATTCTCTCATTAAATACAACTCGTGCAATGGAAATATATTTATAATTTTCGACAAATTTGCACTCATGCGTTTTTAACTGAAAAGGGCACTCGTGCACTACGTGCACTCGTGCTCTTTTTCAACTAAAAATGCATTCGGGCTAATTTCCCAAAAATTATCAATAATTTCCATTGCACTAGTTATATTACTATTGATAATCACCAACACGTAGGTAGGTATCTACGTATCGTACGCAAATACAATGGTTTCTTGTAACATAGTGGCGGTACCAATAATGATGCAAAGACTAGCAGCAATAACCTTTTTTCTATTTCTACTATAACTTTTTGAAATACAATATACGATTTATTATTTACATACAGCAAAAGTAATAGTAAACAAGTACCAATACCGACAAGAATAGGTACCTTAGGACCTATTGAAAAGTAAGGTTCTGTTTTCCTATATATTTTTGTTCTTTATGTTGGCAAAAGAAAGCAATTGAAAGATTTCAAAACACATGTAAAACCAAACCGCAAGACGACGCAAGAGATCTTACAGAGAGGATCTTGCAGGTACTTGCACTTGCACCGTCTAACTGCAAGATTTATTGCAACATGTAAAACCCCCTTTACAAATTCAATGAGCATTTCTTTTGGAGTATGATTTATAGGTAAACATCTTGATTTTTCCAAATGCATTTTCCACATGAACCAAACAACACGAAAATAAAAATTGTAGGTAAATAGGTTTTTGACGTGTTGGAACAGACCTATTCCAACACGTCAAAAACCGTCCCATGAACGGTTCCGAAACCACATATTATGCAAATTGCTTACGTTTATCATCGCCACTTTGTTGAGGGAAGAATAAGCCTAGAAATTTCTGGGCTTAGTTAAGCTTATCTTAATGAGACTAGGTTAGACTGGTGGAAACAAAATTATAATATAAGCGGCACTTAACGTTAAGTAAACTTAAATTTGCGTTGGTGGAAACGGCCATCAGTGAACGAATTTTGGTTTCTACGCACAAATTTTACGCTTTGCGCAGAATCGTGACGGTGCATTGTACGGTTTCTTGCTGTGTTGGAATAGACCTGATTAATGATTTGATTTTCAGTAAATCAATAAGCAAAGAATGAGGTTCCGTCCCAAAACACAAATAAAACAAACTGATTTTCTTCTTTCTCATGTCATTCGTCCTTTTAACGCACTAAAATTGTGGCTAATTACTGTTGGCAACAACGCATTATGATTTGACAAGTTTTCTCTCATTCTATCATATTCCCATACTTTCGAGAATACCAACTTTGGCACCAAGAGAACGAGTGTGCGATGTGATATCTCACTTCTCTTAGGGGAACGTTCACTTCTACCAAATTCGAGAATCGACTACCTGCTCGAAGGTCACTGTCAACCAAGGACTGTGAACGGAATTTTGTTGCTGTGTGACGTCACACTAATCGGTTGTTTCAAATGGCGATGTTTCCAGTGTAACCTCAAATATTTATAAAAAATCAACGGCTGATTTTTAATGCTTGATATTTGGCATGACTATGTCTTTAGTGTAGTACAGCACATTTTTGAAATAAAAAAAAATGTGCAAGTTCCCTATTTCAAAACGAGCAGTTGCCGCCTAAAAAACACAGTTTATATCCTGCTCTTCAACGGGAAACATTACAGTTGCATCTTTGGGTAAATGCTCACTTAGCTAATCCCATGCGCTTCGAAATCTGATTCCTATGGGTGGCAATTGGACCACGAGACAATTTTGTTAACTAATGAATGAATTCCACCTGACACAATATTAAATAGGGAGCTTGCAAGTGAACTAAAATTTTCTAAGTTTGTGTTAAATCGATAGTTTATACTGCATAATATTTATATGACCAGTTTTTATTTAACTGATGCCGCTCTTGTTACACAAAAAATATTGCTAAATTTGAAATAAAAAATTTCCCGCCAAAACAATGCTTCCATAATGGCTACCTTTTTTGACGTCACGATTCTGTAAACAAACCTGTCAATAGGGAAAATGCAAGTGAAATAAAGTTTTCAAATGCAGTTCTTCACAATATTCTTCATCTATTGCGACAACTTTCACAAAAGCAAACTTAAACACACTTGAATAACACAAAAAAAATCACTGCGTCCGCAGGAATTCGTTTACTGCGTTTGTTGTTTACAAAATCTTGACATCACGGACGCTGTCATATTGAAATTTCGCGTTTTCGCGCCAAACTCTTTGATTTGAATTTCAATAAAAAAAATTTCGTACAAAGTATAAATTAAAATGTAAAAAAAGAAAACTATGTAATATCTGATCACTAAAAGTATCTAAAAAAAAATTAATTAGGAAATATGAAAATTCCCTATTCAATATAGGTATTGTGCATGCAAGAAAACTCAGTGCCAAACTCAATGGTATGAGTGTATTCTAAACAATCCTAAATGCACAGAGTAGCTATAATGTTCAAGAACAATAGGCTCGTTCAGCATATTTTTTTTATTACATATTCTAAAAGAGCGTATTGAGTTTAGCAGTTGTGCAAAATTTCATAATTTTCCGAGCCCTTGTTCATATTTAAATAAATTATCAAAAAGCTCCAAGTTTGGAAATTTCGAAACACGCGGTGACGTCACTGCATCTCTCAAGTTGGTCGTGTGACGGCCTTTAGCCCGTCTTGACTTGAGAGATGACGTCATACCATCTCTAAGCGATGAATTTCTGAGGCATAATGTTTTATTATTCAAAGCCGCATAACTTTTTTAATATTTATCCAATTGCGCTGAATTTTTTTTTTGTGTGCTATATGTGAGTAATACTCCATCAAAATATCAAAAAACGTGGTTAATGGAACCTCACTGAACGAGCCTATTGTCTGGACAATTGTCTAACAACTGTGATTCGGAAGATGTAATGTTGTCTAGCTCTAATGATGATGACGACGACGACGATGTAGAAATATAATTATTTATTGATCACATCAGTTATTTTTTGAATTTAATGAAAGCAAATATCCATTTTATTTTCATCTTCCTGCCTTTTTATATCCCGATATTATGTAGTACACCCACCCCACACAATATTTTTTTTAAGGTATTTTATTTAGACTAGTCTTTTCTGAAAAAGAGGAGCATTATTTTGGTGTTTATTTGTACACACAAAAGAAGAAGGTTTTACCCCTCAGGTTTACTGAGATTTTTCATATTTAAAATTTTAAGCCCTGTATAGGGAATGGGAGGTGAAATATTCTGATTTTGGGGCGGCAAGAAACCTTATTCTATGGTGGCAAGAACCCGTTTTGTATTAAGAAAAGCATTCTTGAGAGGACAACATAGGTTGCTTGCTTCAATCACAAACTTGCCACGGAAATGCCCTATACGCGCCTACTAGAAATACAAAAGTTGAAACTGTATTTGTTTAATGGCTGTCAAAAATTTGAATGACTATCACTTCGTAATAAAATTGAGCAACACTTACCGCTGGCGGTGGTCTGCTCGGCTGCGGCAAACTCTGCTGAGTTTTGTGTGGCGGCGGTGGAGGAGCGTGAACGGGCGGTTGCGGTAATCCGCCAGGCGGTGGCGGCGGCGCGTGGCTGGGCGGTTTAACCGACGCCACTTTCGGAGAAGGCGCCGCCGGTGGCGGAACCGACGGCGGAGGTACCGTCGGTCGGGTCGTCAGTTGTGGTCTTTGTTTAATACTGGGAGTACCGGGCTATAAAAGAAAAAACAAAATAGATTCTTAACTACAGTGAACAATAAATAAATGAAACTACATAGGGTGACTCTAAAAAAAAGGGACACAGAGTATCAAGTGACGCCAATTTGTCTTGTCTTGAAAGTTAATATTGATCGTCAAAGTTAATAAATTCAAATGTCCAAGGTTCTTAGAGAAATATCATCATTGTTTCCGTAACATCAAGATAATTTAATATTAAATAAAGTGTCAAAATTTCTTCTAGCAATTTTGAAAACTCATTTTGAAAGTACTGACTTTCAGAGCAACCAATCATACTCACAATAATCTCTCTAAATCAAAAATATGTAGATACCTACCTGTGAATTCAAATTCGTCAAAGACTGTCCTATAATGGAGCTCATATTTCTCACTGTTCCAAATTTGATGCTATTGGCTTCGATAGGTGAAGAACCGGCAGGAGATGGAGATCGAGGCGATCTCATACTTTGGGCGCGGTTGATGCTCCTATTAGTTTTCACCGATAGTTTGGTCGGCGGAGCGGGTTTACCTACAAAAACAACAGATTCTTCAGCAAAGTGAAAACATATTGATGTGAAAAATGTTCTGGAGAGAAGAAGAGAGTGCAGCTTAAGTCAATTCAATTATTATACAGTATATAAATTTCAGTTAGGAAAAACACTGTTAACATAGAAGCTAAATCTTCAAGTGAAAAACATTTTATCGAATTGACAGTAGCGAAGAGACATTAGGCAATAGTGCTGAAGAATGGCAATTAGTAAACATTTCCTATCACTACTCGACTAATTTGACAATAATTAAACTAGTTTCAGATATAGTAACGATCCAGTGGCGCCCTCTTCAAACTGCATCAACATCTTAACACCACCCCAAGCTAAACTACATGCATACTTATATTTGAATGAGATGGGGATTAGGTACGTAAGTATTAATTTAAGTTCTAATAATTATTGGAATTGGAATAGATCTCTGACATATAACAAACTGTTACTTACCGTTTAGAGTGGGCGGTTTCGGTGCCAAATTCGGTTTCCCATGATTAATCACTGGTTTGCTGCTTGGTTGAAACCCTCCCACAATAGCGGCACTATTATCCGTACAATCCAGCGAGCTGAGGTTAGCGTTACTTTTCGATTTCCGATGAAGGGTCGAAACGTTGGGATGAAGCGACGATACGTTGCCGTGAATCAAGTGAAGACCGTTCGAACTGGTGGCGCTGAGCACCCTTTGGTGGATCGGTGCGGCAGGTCTCGAGTCGTCGGCCGATATCTGTGTTATATCAATGTCGTTTATTATTATAAGAGAATTAATTCGTAATTGTAAATTATGTTGTATTTGAACCGTTAATTTATGCGAATTATTGCGTAAAATAAATCATTAATTATTGATATGCTATGCATTTTGCGTACTAAATTAAAACTGAGGTAGATTATGGTTGCATTAGTTTTTCTCATATAAAGGTTAAGTGAATAATAAATTAAGTTGGTAAAAAATTGTATACAAATACATATACCTACATACATAATTGTGTGGAATATCGATTTTGTAGTTGAAATTTCATCAAACACCTAATTTTATGTTCGCTAGATTGTCTTAAAATTATAAAAATCGACTTTGATGAAAATGCTTGTTCCTAAAGTGCAATTTTTGGAAGATTTCCAAACAATGTTTATCTTCTTGATAAATCAAATGATTTTTTCGATAAAAACTGTTATAGTCCTTGGGCCCAGATCTAAATTTTTTATTTATGACCACACCGTCGAAACTTTTTGTATTTGTTATTTGGGTGGAGTCGGACAAATTTTGAGCTTAGCGCATTATAGTAGTGGGGCGTTTGTCTGTCAAGCTGTCACGAAGTTGTCGATTTTATGCAAGAAAAAAATTTATGACCACATTGGTAATTTTATTTTAATCAATAGTTTTTAGCACATAAACAACGAAAAAAAATGTGTCGGACAAAAATATTGGGGCATTCGACGCGTCGGACACGTTGAATATGTCAAATTTATGGGAATTTTTTTTTTATTACCACACGGCTGATTTGAACAGAATCTGGCATAAAAATATTTTACAATAACGTGGTAACCTTGTCGGACAATTTTCACGGGCATATGCGCAGTCGGATGCGCCAAAGATGTCAATTTCCTGCAACAATTTTATTTACAACCACAGATGTAATTTTAATTTTTTACTGTTTCTTTACATGTGTAACCACTGATCTAAAAAATAAATGGATAAACAATCATACGGCTTGATTGGCAAAATTTGTGCGAAAATTTGGGGTCAATATTCTACGAACAATTGTGCAACGGAACAGCCTAACGCCTGCGCAGTGTCTTATCTTTCAAACAACTGTTCTAAATTTTGAAATTCCTTCATTTTCATTGGCCAGATTTTGTGCACGCACAGTACATGTATCTACTGCGCACGCTCACCGCTGTCCCAGTCAGTTGTTTTTGTTTAGATTATGACCTCGTAAATTAGCAGCATTAGAAGCGTTCTTTGCTTATCCATTTATTTTTGAGATCAGTGTGTGTAACGCATATGGGATCAATTGTCGGACAAAAATAATGGGGCGTTTTGATACATTTAAAAAAAAAAGTAGGTAATTTTTGTAATTTTTCACTTCGTCACTTTTCAAAATTATCAGACGCAAAATTCCAAGATTAGAGCAACAGTTGAAAGAAAATAACAAATCAATAATTTTTCCAACAATGGCTAATTCTAAAATAATTTAACTAACTTTGAACTCTTGAAGAAGGAAACAATAAAATTTCCGAAAGCTCGGCGTTTGTGGAAAACTAGTTTTATTTTTGCCAAGACTGAATCCCAAGAATCATCTCACTTATTAAACAAGCCAGTCAAGAATTTCTACATCTATAATTAGTATACAGGGTGGGCCAATGGAAACTTTCCACCCCGATTTTTTGGATTTTAAATAAAAATTTAGAAAAACGCTCAAACACGTCGATTTTTGATTTGAGGGGGAACTATTTTCCCGTTTTTTTCATCCCTCTAGCTTCAACCCCCTAGCTGGGGGGAGAACAACCCCCTAAATTTGAATAGGGGGTAGGGGTCGTGTCACACATCTTTTTGAAGGTCTCATCGAGTTCTTAATGACTCGAGAATGTCGTCTTATTATTTTTATCCGTAACGAAATGACAGCTTGTCAAAATCTTGGAAATAGGCTATTATTGTTTTAGGAGTAAAAGCGATACTTCTTACCTCCCTTCATAAAAATACCTACAATTAAAGTTGTTTTATCAATATTATCAATTATGTATACTCGTGAAACGTACATTGTAAGTATTTTTATTAAGGAAGGTAAGTATCGCTTCTACTCCTACTAAAACAATACTCTATTTCCCAGATTTTGACAAGCTGTCATTTCGTTACGGATAGAAATAATAACCCCAAATTCTAGGGCCATGAAGAACCCAATGAGACATTTAAAAAGAGGCTAAAGCCCCGGGCCCCGAAATGAGGGGGGCCCCAAAATCTACCTCACACAGGGAATAAATCATGCATATAATTTTACAATTTCAATTTCGCCATTTATTATCTATCAATTATGTCAAATCAACACTACCCTATAATTTTATTATTGAGTAGCTGGTATAATTATAGATAGATGACGCCCCGCCGCCATGTTTTGTCAAAACAAAATTGCATAAAACTCCATAGGATTAAATGATAAAAACAAATTGCTTTTGTCAAAACATGGCGAATGAACCACGTAATTCTGAGAACCAATCAAAAATGAGACAACCCTGTCAGGGCCGTAGCCAGGGGGGGCATTAGGGGGCAATGCCCTATCTTTCAGATGATGATGCCCTACCTTTAAAACACAACATGCGTTAAGATTTCTCTAGGAAATTTAAGAGTAAATAATGAATAAGCCTAAAATCGAGTTGGTAGGTATAGTTATTTTACAAGTTCTGCGCGCCATTTTGTTTACTTGCTAGAGATGTTATTTATTGAAAAATTTGCTTTCGGCGCTATTACCACCATTTTGTTTATCTACAGTATGTCCCACTTAAGGACTGATCGCCCTGCTAAAATTTAAATTTTTTAACCGATTCAATTCTTATGAGGCTCATAATTTTATTTTTGCGGCTTTACTAGTGTACAGGGTGTCCATATTTATAGGCTCAAATTTCAATTAGTACTATTAGGGGTTTTCTTAGAAAAAATCTGATAGGAAATTCTTATTTAGAATAGTCTAAAACCCAAGTGGTTGTCGAAATTGTTTATAATTTGCTCCGAATATTTTCTCAAATTTCAAGTATTTAAGCGTGAAATAATAGCTGTTGACTGGTGAATTAATACTTTTATATCCTACTGAACTATTAAAACCATATAATACCTTGGTTACGATAATCATAAACAGGGTCTTAACTCCCAAGGGAGTTAAGGATTTTCATAACTCCCAAGGGAGTTAAGGAAGGGAGTTAAGGATATCATAACTCCCAAGGGAGTTAAGGATTTCCATAACTCCCGCTTTTACCTTGAATAGGTAACACTTTGACAAAAAATAGAAATTTTGATTTATGGCTTATTCCTTTATAAAAATAGACAGAATACAGTAAATTCAATAGGATATAAAATTATCTATGTACCACGGGATTTATCAGGAGTTAATACCCACGGGCAATTGGTGTCCCTCGGGCCGGAGGCCCTCGGGACACAAACGTTGCCCTGGGGTATTAACACCTGCATAATTCCCTTGATACATAAATAACTATAACATACAGTCTTACCGGTTGTGATAAGAAAAGTACATTTTCTAAGTGCGAGGAGTGATATTTTAATAACAAATTATATTGTTCATTGTCTGGCGTGAATTGTTCGTACCTACATTGTTGCCAGCATGCCTAAGCCCAAGGAAATATTGAAGTGCAATGTGTGCAGAAAAAATGTGTCTGATGATCAACAGGCGCTGCTGTGCGACGTGTGCAATATTTGGAAACATCGAGATTGCGTGGGTATCACCCAGAAAGGCTATTTTCAAATAAGTAAGTCTGCGGATCAGTGGATTTGTAATACTTGCAATGATTCTGAAAACGAACAAGAAATAACTTTAGCAGATATTATGAAAAAACTATCGAAAATGGAAGAAAGGCTGGTTGGTATGGAAAAAAAATTCGATCCAGTTTTTGAAAAGTTAAAACAACAAGAAGTTATTAATAAAAAATTGGAAACAGAGTTGCAGCAAATTAAACACGAACTTAACAGAAGAGAGCAGAAAGAGTTGGCAAACAACATTATTATTCAAGGAATACCCATGGAAGAAACTGAAAATCTTACGACGGTTATAAAAACAATTGGTCAACAACTAGACGCTCCGATTAAAGGTAACTTTGTTGCCTTTCGATTAGGAAAACAAAATAAAAACTGTCATATCAAAGTAATGTTCGAGGATTTGAAGGATAAACAGAGAATTATGAAATCGAAGAAAAAATTTAATATGGAAACTAAAAGCCTCGGATTTCGTGAAAATAATGAGGTATTCGTTAATAATGATTTGACTAAATCCAATCTTAAGTTGTTCACTGCTGCCAAATCCTTCAAAAAGGATAACCAATTTAAATACCTTTGGATAATGGTTGTGGAGGGTGAAGATGATCTTACGAAATAGCAATTAGAAAAAAACAAGCTACAGGTAATCTACACAAACATAAGAAGTATTAGGAATAAGATTGATTTGGTACGCTGCTATATCTCAAACAACAACTGTGATATACTATCACTGACAGAAACTTGGCTAAATGACAATGAAGCAGTGCTGTATGAAATTGATGGCTACAATTCATTTCATAGCTGCCGAAAAGGTAAGGGGGGAGGAGTATCTATGTACGTTAAAGAATCCCTTAAATCTAGAAAATTGGACTATTCATCTCAAGATCAGAATATCGACTTTCTATGTGTTGGTGTGGGTGAATGTAATTTAAAAGTGAGCGTTCTTTATAAGCCTCCATCTTGCAATAACGAAATTTTCTTAATTGATTTAGAAACAATTTTATCAAAATATCCTCAAAAGCATATACTTGTTGGGAATATAAACATTAATTTACTAGAAAACAATAACATCACTAAAATATATAAAGATCTGTTAACACTATGTAATTTTAAAATTAATAATGTTTTATCTTTGGAAAATGCAACACGGGTAACGGCCAATACTAAAACTTTGATTGATCATGTTATGTCTAGCTATCACTCTAATTTAGTAAATAATTTAAAAGTAAAAGAAAACCCTCTCTCTGATC